CCTTTTCAAAATAAACCTTGTCGATTGGCATAAACATTTTGTCAGCTACAGGGTACTCCTGACCTGTGAGCGCATGGAAGTAATGGCCATTGCACACTTAGCGTGTGACGTGTGCGATTTCGACACACATGCGGCATGCGTCTGCATGCGTCCACATGCGTTCGAATGCAAGGGAACTCGCGTGTACATTTATGCCCACAAGCCTTTACAAGTATAAAGGAATCGCAATCACAACATTTTAAGTAGGGTTTTCTTTCATTAATCCGAATCTATATTTTAATGCGATGTATTGGATTGTCCCTCCATAACTGGCATCAAATTTAGGATTTTTCTTCTTGACGGTTTTGTCACTAAATCTGTGGAATGACCTATTTGCGATGAGAGCATGCCATAAACACGCGTGTTCCCTTGCATTCGAACGCATGTGGATGCATGCCGACACGCAAGCCGCATGCATGCCGAAATCTCACGCGTCACTCGCTGAGTGAATCGGCCTTAATTCTGAGCATGAAGGTGCTCGGTGCAATCAAATGTATAACATTTTAATGATTATTATTTTCACATGCATTAACATGTATATACACCGCATCCGAATGCATACACATCACGTACATACGATCTTCTGCATGCGGTAATTTGTCAGCTAATAACTGCGTATGGGCCCAAGTTAAAAAATGAAGCCTCAATTTTCATTTTCCATACCTGCGCCTGGGGATACGCTAATTCATTTTAAACCTGCTTCTGAAAAGGTTAACCTCCGATGTTTTATTTCTCGGAAAATATAATTGGAGACAGACCCCTCGGGCTGCAGACGCGCGAGAAAACAGGAAAGGTAGAAGGAAACGATGAAGAATCGATTCCCAAGGTGGACGACGTGCATCCTCCGTCTCTTCACTTGTTTCGTAAGAGATCCCCCCCTCGAGCCTCCTTACTGCACTGGATCGAGGATCAGAAATTGATCAGACTTGTTATCTCATCACGATATATCCTTTCTCGGTGCATCAAATAATTCATTCTGATGGGTAAAACGGCACGAATTCGTTCAATCTTGTTTGCGGTTCTCAAGAAACTTGTCTGTGAGGTAGAAAAAAAAAGTTTTGTCTGTGAAGAACTCGTCCGGTTTCGATGGCGGATCCGGAACCGGATGTAAAAAGGGATTCAACAAGTGGCGTTTTACGTCAGCGAGTATAATGCTGCATTTCCTCTCTGAATGGCTCATATCCGCGTATATTCAGTGATGTCTTTGGAGTCTAATATTTTTTGTAGACCCAAAATTATTTGGTACTTATAGTGGTTTTCCAGAACCAGAAATTCTTTGCTGTCAGTCTGGTTGTACCACGTATTTTCAGCTTGCCACTTTCTAATCCGACGAAAGGCAGCCTCTGTCGGTTTTCTCACACTCGAGTATCAAGTTTTGTTGCGAAAGGCAATCCTCTGTCGTTGTCATTGTTGCTCGTTGTGTGTCAGTGTATTGTTAGTAGGGGACTGCTGGATACCTAAATATTCATACCTGGAACTTTTGAAACTGTCGAATGTACAGCTGATATAACAGGTGTCGACTCCGCTCGATGTAACATTCCTCTGTCAAATGACAGTCGCGAAAAAAATCAATGCTGACTTTTATTATTTTTATGTCCTTGAAACACTTTGAACGCCTGTGTCTCAGGAGTGTGGGAGGTTCTGTCGAAGGTTACCCTTTTTCCAAGAAAGCTCCTGATATCGGGAAAGACAATGTTACGTCAGAGTGTGGTAGACATTATCTTGGAAAATACTGAAAAAGACAAGGAGACAAAAGACAAGGACAAGGAGACTGAGGGACTGAGATAAGCTCGAGAGGAGGACGGGAGGTGTTGAAAGAGTTACAGCTCCTGTTCCTTCATCTCTATCGGGTTATCCAGGGGATCTGTTTCAAGGTGAGCGAGAAGTGAACTGGCGAAAATCGTGCTCAGAGCGAGACTGGTTGCTGGTGATCCCCGTTACCAGACCTGAGATAATTGTCATTACAATATCCTTACTCCCCCCTCCGTCTGTCAAATGTCTGTCCATGAAAATTAAAAATTCAGCTACCTGATTCCCAATGGAAAAAAAGTGTTCCACATTCATTTCGAGCCGGAATGACGTATTTATAATCGCACCCATGAGAGCAGGGGAAGTAGCCTGCAGAAATAATTTCTCTACTGCGTCATCGCTCCTTTTCATTGCGATATCCGAAAGTTGATGCAACTTTTATCATTTAGGAAAGCCAAGCAAAAAGTATTTTTTTTGCAAAACATTTATGGGAAATTCTGAGCTGAGGTAGTGAATAGTTGACATATTGAAGAAATGGATACATTTTTTGATATGACGATCCTTTAGCTTTAGTATTTTAGGTAATGGTTTTTCAAGGATAGGTATTCATATGAATTTCAGTATTCGAATATGGAAATGAATATTGACTCTTGTCTCAGTTGAATGGCGAATATGGGTAGAAACCCTTAAACCGATCGAATAAGAATACTTCTGAGTGGCACATATTGAGTATTTAAATATTTCTGAATAGATCCTCAATAAGTGTCAAAGCATGCAATTTGACTTTGACATATTAGGCTTAAAACGCGATATCGGCAGCATTCCTAGGCATTTCCCTAATTTTCAGTTAGGGTCTGGATCTACTGAGGGACTGAGAATGGCTGCGGCAAACAATTATACTAGATATACTAATTCAGGATTTAATGGGCTTGCTGGTCGAGTGCATTATGCTTGCGCAGGGTGCTTTCTTCTAATAAGAAGCTATTCAGAAAAACTGAGAGAAATCCCTGTTTAAATGTGAAATCTTGTATGATTATTGGTTGTCTGATTTGAATGTGGTAAGGGCATTCGATTATTCCACTAATCTGAATAGAATACCCGTCCCTGCGGTCCCTTTTTGCGTCCTCGTTTATTATGCCTTCCATGCAAGTCCCTTTTTGTCATGTCGCTGGCATGCCATGAGATGGCAGAGACGATGTCCCAGGGGCATAACGAGTGGATCTACTGCGTTTTCAAGGTCGACTTGAGGAATAACGGGAATATAAAGCCACTGAGAAAAATAAAGTATTATCGTACATCAAAACTTCCTTTTTAGGGGAGGAGGATGACGATAATCTGGAGTCTAGATTCGTCATGAGTCTACATCTGTATCTTGTTTTTATTTTTATTCACGAAGGGAAAAAAAGATTCGGGGTGAAACATGCCTCTGTATCTGAGGCGAACATTCTTCGGTCTGATTGGATCCTTGGTCTGAGACGGGAAGATGAGAAGAAAAGATTCGATCAATCGAAAGAGAGGTGGTGTTATTGTTCGCCTTGAAAAGTCGACACCTTCGTCTTCCCCAATGTCGACAGATTTTTTTTTCTCGTTTCCCTCTCATTCCTTCCTCATCACTCGTCTATTCTGAAACCAGTCTTGTTTGGGAAGCTGCAGGTGTACGTGATTCCTAAAAATCTCTCTGTATTATGGTGGGAACCTCGTTAACGAACCCGTATTGAGTCGGTGAGGCAGGGTGCTCTTCCTTCGTCAAACAGTGCCAGTATGCAACAGATCGACAGTGGCACCGAGTCTCTCAGCAGCACTAGCAGCACCGACATGGGCCCGGAACCCACGGGTCAGGTGGAGCCGGTCGCAGTCGTGCTAGAAGAGCCCGAGGAGAAACACCCTAACTCGAGCGTCCGAAATCGTCGAAGCAGCGTCGTCGACGCCGCCGACAACAGCAACACGAAGGGAAGCGATCACGTCGACAGCAAATGTCAGGAATGCGGGAAGCAGCGTCGAACGGGGGCGCCTGCGAAGTCCAACTCCAAATCCAAGCGGTTGAGTGACGTGTGGAAGATGCAGAGTAACGGGCGGAATCACCGGATCTTCAGTCTCCCTGACGTCGGGGATCCCGAGTTCCGGAAACGGAGGCTCTCCAAGTCTTGGAGCGATCCGACGAAGGAGCAGAAGAAGCGGCACTTGGATGAAGTGGGATGCTCAGACAGCAGCAGCTCAGAAGCGGAGGACGTGGAGGAGGCTGAAGCGAAGCGACGGGGAGTTCACTTCGCGAGCAACGTCGACTTGGAACCCGAGTCGAGCACGAGGAGGAAGTCCGGCATTGATGAAGAGTATGGCATGAAATACTCAGGCACCCTGGTAATCCTTTCGAGCATCCAGAGATAGTGAAATTGTCCATATTGACGTATTAGTCCCTCCGAGTTTTGGTAGAGTTTTGTGGTTGCCTCGAAACGGTTTCGGTGCTGTGTGAAGTGGTTCCGAAAGTTTGCTGGTTGAAGATGGCTCGCAGGTGAACCTTTCTGGGTGATGTTATTTATACTTATGTGGTACAGCTCATCAGAGCACACGATTCTGACCATTCGCTTAGGCTTTTGAGTTTCCCTTCAGCAGAACTGCCGCATCTTTTTTTGTACAATACGCTCGTTTCGAAAAAATTGCATCTCCTTGGGGTGGAATAGAAATTTAGGATAGGTCGCATTAGTCGAACACCTGAAGGTCAAATCGAATGCTGCCTAACCCGTTCGGGACGGAAAACGCATTAACGCGTTTTCACTAACGCGCGCTCCCAAGACGGATGACGAAGTTAAATATGTCACGTCGTGTGCTTTCGAGTTTTGCCATTTTGCCCTACTTCTGTTTGATTTTGATGAGGAAGGAAGCTTGTCGTGCTATCCGCAACCAGTTTAGCCGCGGGAGTATCACCGTAGGTCGTTTTCGGACATTTCAAAACGCTGGAAAACGATTTTCCGTGGTACGTTTGGACAAAAAAAAAGGGTTTTGAAAGCATTATTCACTTCGTAGGAGAAAAGGAGAAATGTATGCAGAGAATCTGACAAGCATTCAACGTTGTTGCAAAAAAAGTTGCCGATTGGCACGCAGTCTCTTCGAATTCTGAGACCTGAGATGGACTTAGACGGTCTCAGTTCGTAGATTCTCGTGCCCTCTTTGAGCATCAGCATCATTGATCACTTTTGAGCATCTTCTGCTAATGAATGACCGTGGTACCTGGAAAGCTCATCAATGTCGATAACTCAGCAATGCAGAAATAGATTTCGCACATTGGCTTTTGATGTGGCTTTCCGTTCTCGGTCGTTTGAGTGCCTTATTCGAATTCGACTGTATGGCTTTTCGAAGTGATGGTACGCAGCGCCATATTTAAATATAATCTCGCGAAAAGGCGCATGTTCCTTAGGACAACAAATCAACAGTGACACCTTTGTCCGTATGCAGATGTATGGCCGATACACGCGGGACCTTGGCGAGTACGTGAAGGAGGAGGCGAAGCGGCTGAAGCAGCTGGAGAAGGCGCGGAAGCGGGAAGAGAAGCTGCGCACCAAGGAGCTGCGCAAGTACCGCGGAAAGTGGGCCACCAGGTCCCTCAACGTCCTGTCCTTCGTCTGGCGGAACACGTTCGCCCGCCTCGGCGAGGACTGGGTCTTCCTCGCGCTGCTCGGCATTCTCATGGCCCTCATCTCCTTCGCCATGGATTTCGGCATCGCCATCTGCAATCTCGGTAGAATCCCTGCTTCATCTCCCTTCTCAACGGGGAATAAAATATAGAAAAAAAGCAGCCACAAACGAAGTATTTCTCGGAAGCTGCGTTTTGCGTGCATTTGGAATGAATGGAACAGAATGCAAGGAGAGTTGAAGCAAAAGAAAAACAACTTGTGAAATAAATTGATTCAATTTTACGGAATGCAAAAATAAATCGCGGGTAATGAGTGACCCCATCACTTTGACAAGATCCATCAGAGTGCGCAAATCTAAATAGTGAATGCATGAATCTCTTGACGAGCAGAGTTGAACTAGGTTTGATGAAACTTGTCCGTTTGATATGGTTTCCAGTAATTCCGCAAAAGTCCATGTTTTCGAGACCCTAACTGTTTGGAGGTACCGCGAGGTACTCACTGTTTGAACTCGACCAAGGGCGACAAGGGGAACGAGACAACGCACTCATGGAGACGATGGATTGGCAATGGACATCCAGGCATTGCATTCAGAACTGAAAATATGAGCCATATCGACTTGAAGTCTGCTGCTTTAAAACGATGTGTTGGGTGTGTAGGGTCGCTTATGACGTGCATAGATCCTTAGTACACGAACGGCATGCAATGCAAAAAAAAGTATTGCGCTGATCGTGTGAAAATATCGTAAATGTGCCATTGTCAGAAATATAATATTGAGCGTAATTGCTACCCGATGAAATGGCGTGGGAGTTTGGCAGGGGTGGGCTGGGATGGGAAGTACAGCATTGCATTTCTCGTCTGAATCTGAAATAGGCGTTGTCCAGTTTTGTTCTTTAAGAAAGATATTGCCCAATGCAGCTCTGCCTTAATCGAGTCGATTTGTTTGTGGACCGCAGCTCGAATTCGGCTGTTCCGGGACCTGGCGACGCACCCTGGCCTCCAGTTCCTGGCTTGGGTCGCTTTCCCCGTCTTCCTCATACTCTTCTCGGCCGGATTCACGCACATCGTGGAGCCGCAGGCCATCGGTAAGGACTGGTTCCCTCGCGGTCCTAATAAAGTCTGGATGGCTTTCGTGAATGTGGGGTTGCGGTAGGTTCGGGGATCCCCGAGATGAAGACGATCCTTCGCGGCGTGCAGTTGAAGGAATACCTGACGTTTCGCATGTTGATCGCCAAGGTCGTGGGTCTCACCGCCTGTCTCGGCTCGGGTATGCCCCTCGGCAAAGAGGTGAGGAACAGACGAAAATCATATGTTATGTACGAGGGTGTCCCAGAAGCCTCAATGCATGCTCTGCACCAAGCTAATTGTGAGAGATCACCTGTCGGAATCACTATTGGTGTAATTACTATACCTGGATGAGGCACTCAAAATGAGGCGAGGCTCGCCGTTTTTTGACGGCATCCAGGATCCAGGATCAATTGCATGCCATTCATCGTCACAATCTCCATGCTGCGTTTTTCTAGACCTGTGCGCAGCGAGGACATGAATTTTCCAATTTCCTGTTCATGTGAAATTGGACAATAATATTTTCTTGTTGAAAATGTTGCATGAATGATAAATATTAACTCTGCTGAAGTTGAAAGTTTTCTCAAATCCGATTCCTCCATTCGGCAATGGAAGTTACAATGTTGTTGGAGGATTTTGGGGCTCCCCTGTTATTTTTTAATGCTTATTTCTTGAACACTATACTAACTTCCTCTTTTTCCCTTTGCTTTATTTCTCTCGCCCATTTCTGGAACGTTGCAGCCGTTTTTCCTCCTTCCCTATGAAATACACCTTGAAAAAAGCATATAATATCCGGTATGTTGAAATATTTGAGGAAAAAAAATCAGCGTAGCGTAACAATGTTGATACGCGCTGCCGCCAGGGCCCGTTCGTACACATCGCGAGCGTGATGGCAACCCTGCTGGGGAAGCTGGTGACGACCTTCAAGGGGATCTACGAGAACGAGAGCCACAACATCGAGATGCTGGCCGCGGCGTGCGCCGTGGGCGTGGCCTGCACCTTCTCCGCGCCCATTGGGGGTCTGTTTCTCGTTCTCTTGCCTTTTCGCCTTTTCTGGAATAAAATATTACTGTATTTTTTTTTTTAGCTGTCCTCGGGGTCTAGAATGTAACTCTAATATCCTGGTATAATCGTTAGCTCTAATATCTCTCAGTTTTTCCCTTGAAGCGATGCGATTCTCTTGATTGGTTTTTGTATTCGTTCTGAATCTATTTCTTTGTTGGTAGTAGGAGGCCATTCATATGTATTTTTAAAGATCCATTCAGAAACGACTGCACATCGATAGTTTCGAACTAGAACTTGGAAGTTACGTTCCACTTCAGAGGGACGGACTGGAAAAAAAGAATAATTTTGCAGTGGTACCGGGGGTAGTTCGCTTGGAACTTTTCGAAGATAATTTTTGAAGAATGTAGAATGCAGAGTCTTCAGTACGTTTGTCGTCGACAGAAAATATTGCTTTTGCAAGTGGCATCATCATCGATCATTGCGTTGCTCGGGATTCCCTGGAGCGGGGGCGACGAAGGCCGTTTTTTTGTTTTGTCAGTCGTGAATAAGCCGCTTTCGGATGAGGGCGTGATATATGTTCCAGGGCGATCGAGATCCTGATAAATGTCTTGAGGTCTGGTATCGAAGTGGTTTGCGAGCGATTCCCTGCCAGGCTTAAGCTTTTCTCTCCTTGTCGGAGTCTGCGAGTCCTTGACTCCCGCGACTGGCCTGAAAGGAAGGCACGGGGACGAGGACTGGATTCCAGTCGCAGACCGGCATTTCAGGCTTTGGGCACGTTCCACGAACGAGACTGCTGCTAGAGAAAGGCGAGGCGGTATCTCCAGGGAAATAAATATGCTCCTGCGAGGTGTTAGACGTATGGAAATTGCGTTACACGATTGGAACGAGACAAAATTACTTTAGAATTTTATTTTATCCGCTTATTTCCATTACATGGAGTTGCTTGCCCGTGCTCACTCTAGAAGACCTAGTCTCCATGTTAAAAGGTCCACGACGATGTTAAAATAAAATTTTCGCAAAAGAAACAATGTTTCTTTGGCTCCAGGTTAACATTACTCCAGGGTTCAAGTATATCCATTGTCCAGACCGTTTATGGAACTCACGACTGAGCTGAGTAGATGAACGCGATCGCATCTTCGCTATTGATTAATTACTAAATATGATACGTTTCTGTCCTTGAGAAGAGGCAACTGATGAAAAAAAAATACAGATTCAGAAATGGCGATGGGGATATATGCCTTTTGAATTAACATGACACAGGCCTCTCCACGATGAAATCACGATGTGCTCCCTGCAGGTGTGTTATTCAGCATCGAGGTCACGGCGGTGTATTTTGCCGTCCGTAACTACTGGCGGGGCTTCTTCGCCGCCGTGAACGGGGCTCTCATCTTCCGGCTTCTGGCCGTCTGGCTCAAGAGCGAAGGTATTGGCGATTTTCCTTTTTTTTTTAGATTTTTTTTTGCCATGAAAATGTCAACTAGTGGTATTTTCCTTGATGTGCAGAGACGTTGACGGCCCTGTTTGTGACCAATTATACGATCGACTTCCCGTTCGATGCTCAGGAATTGGTCGTGTTTGGGCTTATTGGGTGAGATCATCGTTTTCATTTTCCTTTTTACTCTTATTTTTCCGCTCTCTTCTCGGAGTTTGTGCGGACCTCTCCCCCTACAGTATCTTGTTTACCATTTTTCTCCCCATAAAGTTTGGATTGGATTTGGAAGTAGCTCTCCAGCCTTTACGCACCCTTGACAGTTATGGATTTGTTAGGATATCATTGGTAAATTTCACAATATTGTCGCTTCTTTTCGTTAGGAACGAGTGAGTGCTGGGTTGGTGAGAGCATTTATTCAACATTTTTTAATTCATACATTTACTTTGAGAGCTTTCTCCTATTTTCTGGTTCTCATTTCATTCAAGTTGACAAACCCTGCGCTAAGCTTTCATTCCTCTGATGCTTTTTTCATTCGTGAAGGGTGGTGAGCGGGTTTGGAGGTGCCCTGTGGGTGTGGATGCACCGCAGATACGTCATCTTCATGCGACGCAACAAGAAGATTAAGTGGTTCCTCCAGAAAAAGTGAGTCAGAGTCCACCGCGAATCCACTGCTAATCCACTGCTAATCCACTGGGAATCCACCACGATCCCCGAACTTGTTGCAGCCGGTTCATCTACCCGGGGGTGGTGGCGCTGCTGATCTCGGGGATATCCTGCCCCCTGGCCCTGGGTCAGTTCATGGCCTCCGACCTGACCACCCACGAGCAGGTGGAGCACCTGTTCTCGAACTTCTCGTGGGCATCCGTTGCGGACGCGCCGCCTGGGACGCCCGTGAACGTGGAGCAGGCGGAGAAGATCCACCACTGGGCCACCCCACACTCCAACATCTTCCTCACCCTCACCGTCTATTTCCTCTCCACGGTGAGTTCGTGTGACGTCGATCGGCGTTGAAGCCAGGAGGCACTTCCTTGGCGTCGAAAGAGTGTGGTATGGAGGTTTGATTCAAGATTTATTGGATGTTCGTTATTTATTGAGAAACTTTTTTTTTCAAATATTTTTGTTTCTTTTTTTTTATAGTTTGAGTGTGCTATTTATTATTATTCTTTTAGGCAGGGAATTAATAAAATTTTAGAAAGTTTTATTTTCTTATTGATTCCAAATTTCGTTTCATAATATGATTCTATATTTTTCATCATTTGAGCGACACACGTGATGTTTTCTGTGCTCAGGCATTCCTGTCGATCCTTGCTTCCACGCTGCCGGTGCCATCGGGGATCTTCATCCCCGTGTTCAAAATAGGAGCTGCCTTCGGTCGCCTGGTGGGGGAGGCCATGGCGATCTGGTTCCCCAGGGGCGTGCGGACCGGCAACGTCTTCACGCCCATCCAGCCCGGTCCGTCCCAGTCTGTCTTCCTTCTCTCGTACTAGGCGCGGGATGGGCGTTCAGGTGCGGGTGCCAGATCTGGCTGTGGTGAGGTTCATTGCGGGGGGGGGGGGGGAGTATCATGATGCTTTTCATTTAACGCGGGAGCTGAAGGAGAGGCAGGAATTTTGTTTTTTTCGGAGATTGAATCGGCTGCTGTTGAATTTGCATCGCCATGGATGAATAATCACTGCGCTACCAAATGATGTACAATAGCAGATGATGATGAAGTGGTTACAGTGACATTACACTTACGGAAGGACGGCGCCATCAGGTATTAATAGGTTGAAGTGCGCAATTACCTCTGTCTGATGCATGCACGTGAGTAGGTGGCATGTCCGCCTCTGGCTGCATTGCAGGCCGCCGACAGATGTGCCATGTCATCGTGCAGGCGTACTGAGATGATGGTGTGCCTCAGGTGACGTTTGTTGGAGTGAACATTGCATTGGTGGTCCAGTCTCTGCCATCATGCACTGATGCTAAGATGACTCTTTCCCGATGTTGCGATTTCAATGGCGACTAGTGTATTTATAATCTTTCCAAAGCTTTCTATTATCCGATGGAATTGTAGTGAAAGTTTCCCATCGTAAAAATCTTGAAATCCTCATGATTCAAATGAAGCGAGAAACTGAAAGTCACTACAGAGTAGAAGTTCCGAATCTGCATGAAAGAGTTCGTTAACTTTGGCTTATTTCGTCCGTTAACTTGCGAAACCAGTAGCATATCATTGTTTTTCATGGAGCATGGATGGATCGTGTTCTCTTGATGTAGATGAATGCAAGAAAATTGCAGTCTGAATGTTTAAATCTCACTTGGAAGGTGAGGCAGGGTGATGAGACATGCAAAGGAATTGGAATTGACTGAGGAACAGATTGTCCTGTCGGGATGCTGACGATTATTGTGACATGCGTGACATTCTCCTCATCAGGTGGCTATGCAGTGGTGGGTGCAGCTGCATTCTCTGGTGCGGTGACCCATACCATTTCTGTGTCTGTGATCGTCTTTGAACTCACTGGACAGATCACCCACATGCTTCCCGTCATGGTAAACCTTGCACCATCTTTCTTTTTGATGCTTGAATCTCGTCACCTCCAATCCATCGATATTGCATACTTGAATAGATTGCAGTGTTGATCTCAAATGCAATAGCCCAGCTCCTTCAGCCATCCATCTATGACAGCATCATCCAGATCAAGAAGCTCCCCTTCCTCCCCGACATCATCTCTTCCAAGTCGGGTAAGTCTCATTTGGATGCGGTTGGACCTTGTCCTCGACGATCTGGTTGAAATTGTGATGGCATGTGTATGAGCAGCTGCTTATCACGTGATGGTGGAGGACTTCATGATCTTGAAGAACAAGCTGAAGTACGTGTGGCACGGCATGCGCTATCGGGACCTCCGCGAGGTCTTGAAGGACTCCCGCAAGCTCCGCACCCTCCCCGTCGTCGATTCGCACGGTCAGGCTCTTGACTTGGTTCTTAGTCAAAGATTTATTGCGTCATTGGGATAGCTGACATTCATCGGCAGGATGTGCATTCATCTTCATTGGAGTTGCTCCTAGATTAGGCATTGACCATTTATCCAGTAACTGGGAATATAGGTGGATTTTTACAGTCAAGTCTTGAAAGTGGAACGTTCACATTTTTGGAAAAGAAAATATAAATATTTGATCATGATTGCAGGCTTGTAAGCAGGAAGTGGGTTCTGATCAATAAACGATTAATAATTGACAGTTTTGTAAAGACCGAACCGTGGTGCACTATTGGCCTCAATTGAGAAAGATGCCTTTGGGCCGACCTGTAACTGCTAACCTTTGTCCAACAGAGTCGATGCACCTACTGGGGTCGATTCGGCGGAGGGAGTTGGTCACCCTGCTGGAGATGCACTTAGGGAAGGAAAGGCGCATGCAGGTCACTGCCAAGTGGCATTCTTTGGCCAAGAGGTCTGTTCTCTCTCCAGGGTTAGTTTATCCTCGCTTCCTGCTTCTTGCTGCTTCCACGACAACCTCCTGCACGACTTCTAAGGGATGAGTTCCCGCGATATCTGGTTCTGGCTTTTTGGCTATGGCAGGCTTAGGTTCGCATCCTGAAGATGGGGATTCACGCTTTTGCATATTGACAGCATCTGCACCAAGGGTATTCAATTCCACTCTTTTTCAATCAAAGTGGAACAAACTTAGCAAATGGTTCTTCTGTCACAAGTACAGAATCATATTGTTGAGCTTGTTTCATTTGGACTTGCTAAAAGTGTGGGTATGATTTGGTCACATTGGGTTACTAATGACCAGTTTGCATTACTATTTGGTGGTGTTGCTGTTTTCATGTTGCAATATTGTATTTGGTGGTTGCTCCGTTGCTAAACTATCATGGTGTTCTGGGGCTGATTGCAAGCTAATTGTGCAGGAAATGTTGCTAAGTAAAGGCTGGCCAAATGTAGCTTGAAGTGTGTGAGTAAATTGATGCAAAAGCATGTGTTCTAAAGTACAAATTCTGAATAGAGCTCTGAGTCAAGAGCGGGAACGTCTCATGGCGGAAGGCATCCAGAGGTCGCTCACTCCCCCCCCACCAAGCATCACCATCACTTCAGAGAACCCAGAAAAGGCAGAAGGCTGCATGGAAGATGTGGAAACATCTACTGAGGCACGACGGCTGTCACGCTTTGAGGTGGTTCCGGCCAATGAAAGGGTCCTGCCCCCAGTGCGCCCAACTCTAGATGGAATCTCTCTCATCAATGAGGTTTATATCCAGCATTTCTCTCTTCTCTGTATCTCTGTGATGCAGGGTAAGTGAGGCATATTCTGGCCCTGTCATAACAAAGTCTGCCCCCTATGTGACATAATTGAATATAATAAGATAATAAGAAATCCAATCAGCCTTTTTCAATCAAATTGCACCTATGTCTCGCCATAAAATGTGCATGGACATATGCATTCTCCTCTTGAATGGCATAGATTCCAATGCTATCAATTTCATAATGTAGACATGGGAATGGATGTTAAGCTCAAGAGGATCAGAATTTTTCTCACTTACCTTGCATACTTTCCACAGGGAGAGATAGATTCTGTATCCAAGTGAACTATGTTTGCAATTGAGCTTGTCATTTCAGAGATCTTAAGCTTTGAAAGCCTTTAAAGGCTAATATCTCTGTTCTGTATGTTCTATTTGCAACAGCTGACAAAGAGTTCAAAGGACGGGGATGAACCCTACCACCCGACAAGATCCCTGCCGGCACCAGGGATGCGACCCAAGAAGGGAATCCTCAAGAAGACCCCCTCATTCCACTTTAGTGATGAGAACAGTGATGGAGTAGGGTTGCCATCGTCCACGCACTCGACGGTGACTTCGACAGACTCCCGTTGGAGACGTGCCTTTGAAGCCATCGTCCAGAAGGCCCATGCCCTGCATGACGGAGAAAAGAGCCCTGGCGGGACCCTCTTGTTGAAACATGTCACTCTTGTCAGTTCTGTTACTACCATTATTCCAAACACATTGAAATTAATGTGGGATATCATGACTTTTAATGAGAGTAATGCATAGCAAAGCAAAATACAGAGAGAGGTGGTAACATTAGGTCCCATGGGCACTCTGCTACAGTCCCTGCACTAAATTTATACTCATGAAAAAAGGAGACATGTAGAGGCATATCTACTTAGTCATGTCATGATGATAGTTATGATTGTTCATGACTATCCTCATAGACTTCATGCTTTTAGTGTGTGCTTTTCAACTTCATTTTGGAATGGTCATCCCATGGTATACAGTTTTATGTTTAGGTTTGAATCCTTTGAAATGAAAACGGAATTTTGTGCTGAATTCTTCTAGCCACGGGAGCGTGTGATAGATTTGCCATTGGAAGAGCAGAAGCAATGGGAGGAGGCAGAACTGGACAGGGAGGTGAATTTCGAGGCAGTTCCTGTGGATCCAGCCCCATTCCAGTTGGTGGAAGGAACGACATTACTCAAGGTCCATTCCCTCTTTTCCCTCCTGGGGCTGAAGCAGTCGTATGTCACCTCGTTTGGACGACTCATTGGTGTCGTCTCGCTTGTTGATGTGAGTTTTTCCTAGTTTTCTTCCATTTATGAGGGATGCTGTTCTTGTATTCTTTGTAGACTTCAGATTCCAAGCCTTTTAAGATATAATTTGTAGGCTTATAAAATATTCACTACATCTGTTCTTATAATTATTTCAATATAGTTCATGTCATTACTTCATTAAAAAGCTAAGCATAATTGTAGCTCATTCACCTGGATGATATGAAATATCATTGAGATGGTTCCAGAGGCTAATTGTTGATGTTTGACAGGAAGGAGGATGATTGGTGATGTGAATGTCTGGTGAAGGAATTCTTTTGCTTTCATCTGTCCCGATGTGTGTATTTCATTGCCCTGGAGCAGAAATAACCCCTGTGATGCCTTTCTCTTTCTCTGCTATCCCAGCTTGCCCGAGCAATTCAAGGGCCTCTGCTTATCCACTCTGATGATGAGTCACCATTAGAGTCTTCCAGTGACTCCTGATGATGGTTGGGATGTGGATACTTTTGAGCTGATGAAGTGGGATGAGGGTACGAATGTGCTTTTTCTGCCTTCCTCTTTCACTACCATTATCTGCTCCTTTTGCTTCCTTTCACATTTCCCTCCTGCTTGTCTTCACTTTCCCTGCATGTGCTATTCAGATTTTGTTTTTGTTGGAGTGGTCAGACAGGAAAGGGATCCTCAAAAACCGTTATCTTTTCCCTGACCTTTACCCCTATTCTTGTCTCAGCATCTTTGGCCATTCTCTGTAACTGCTGTGTGAGTCCCATTCTACCTGTCCATCCCTTACCTCATAGTATACATGATGGTGCAATTGTCTATACAACATGGTTCCCCCCACTTTAATATAGCAATTTCCTGGAAAAACATTCGATAATTTTATTTATGTAATCAAAGCATGGAGACATCATGAATGATTGCTATGTTTAGAGATGACTGAGTCATCAGAAATTGCACAATTGTTCCAGCTGCTTCAATCACAGATGACAAGTATGAAGGATGATCCCTGTCATGCATGTGCAGTTATCATGAATGATATCTCTATTGCTGAAATGACTATATTTACCGGGTGCAACAGCCTACTTGGGACAAACTCATGAGCAAGCTTTAAATTTCCCAAATTTTGTATTTGCTAAATTCTTGGCTTCAAGGCTTGTATTGATTAAAGTTATATTAAGTGCAGTTTATTTAACACTATCAGCACGCACATATTTTCCACACACACTGTGCAAAATTTAAAAACTGTAGCACTATTGCACTTTTTGGCAAAAGTGGAATAAAGTTTATGCAAAGTCTGAGGCTGCACTTGTTAAACTGTAACTGAAACATGCAAATGGTAGTGCAAATCATTGACTTTCAACACCACTATTACTCTTTGCTGCTTCAACTGTATTGCTAGTTCCAACAGCAAAGCTGTTCACAGCGCTTCACGTCCTCACTGAGATCTGGGCCAGGCATGTCAGAAAATCCACAGGTGGCTTGCTAGGAATTACCTTCTGTGCACAGAGTGATATTTAGGAGCAAAATCGAACAGTTTGGTCCATTCGAAGCTATGGGTATTTAACCTTTAAATAGCAGGGTTATTTAGCGGAGTCCTAGGCCACTGTCTGTGACAATTTTCTAATAGTTATTGCCAGCCGAAAGCTCAAAATTTGCGGTAAAGAAAATGTCCCAAGTAGGCTGTTGCACCCAGTACACACCATCTCCATTCTCAGCTGTCATTTGCCTAAGGATGTCTGCAGGTTTTGTCCCATTGCTGCCAAATATTGAGTTACTGCCCTCCACTATTGTAGATTACTGCCTCCAATAATGGACACAGTAATCCTTCATTTTGTATGGAAATTGGTGCCACTATATGTGCACTGAATATAGCATCTTGAATATAGAAAAATATAGTAAATTATTGCCATTTGAAATAGAACATACAAGAATAATTACACATGAAAGAGCATTGCCCCCTTGTGTGACATCTCAATTTTATGCACTCTTGTATATCATGGGAAATTGTAATCCTTATCAGAAGATGGTGTCAATGCTGTGATAATTTAAACTAAGTCACATTTAGTCTCAGATTGCCAGACCAAAAATAATGCCACTAGTGAGTAAAGAGCAGACTCAGCCGAGTATCTTGACATCAATGTCACGGCTGATGACAAACTATTGATAGAAAATTGCAGAGGGCTGAAACATAAATCAAGCTTGTGGAACTGCTCCATCAACAAGATTATCTTAGTCTCTTCTGTTTCCTGAATGACCCTGACTCTCCCCTTCTTGGGTGGATTTTCATCTGATGTGAGAAAATGTGCTTGTTTGGTATTGCCAGCCACCAAGGTTCCCATCCCCTTAAGGTGAATGTGTTCTTATGTGAGATTTTTCTCCACCTTGCTTTCTAATTGTGTGAATCTGTGTTGCATGTCAAGGGTGAATCTGCTTGAACTCAACATTGATGGATTCAGAAATACAGGGTGTCCATAAAGTGACTATCTATGGGTGACTTTTTTATGATTGACCCTGAAGTAGCAATTTTGTTAACTTTTGCAGACTGACAACGTACCAACCTCGGAATAGTGTCAGATCTTTCCTCCTTCCACTTTGGCATGGCCAAGAATTAATATCCCACATCTGGTGTTTTATGTTTTCTTTCCATGATTCAAGTAAAATTTTGTTGTTTGATCTCATTGCAACAACTTCTTACAGTTATCATGATATTGTTTGAGTAATAGAGCATTTTAGGAATTCAAAATCATAAAAATGAGGAATTTATATGACAGATTGGCTCAATGTGTCAACCACCAGTTTCCAAAAATGTCTGAGCCCTGACAATTGCATTGTCAGCCACATCCATGAGAATTCTATCACTTTTCTGGCACATGGCATGACAGGTATTCTCTTTCTAGTTGTTCAGATCTGTGAACGTGGTTTTGGTAAAGAATGCCTTTTAAGTAGACCCAGAGAAAAAAAATCACTAGGGATCAAAATTTGGAGACCTTGAAAGCCATTAGCCCTGGATGACAAGTCGGAATGCTACACTCCACATATATGAACTTTTACTTGAAACAGGGGTTTGGTAAATGAATTCTCAGTCACATTAGAGTGTAAAAGCAAAAGTTGTGACACCATCCCAAGGTCTAATGATAAATAGCCAATAAAAATAAAAAGTTGGTTCCCAGATTCAGTATGGAAAAAGTACAATATAGTTCTTGAATTCATAAAACCAGTAGTGCATACAGTGCATGGGGATGTGCATGAGAGAACCTCCTGTATGGCTGATGAGTGGCAATCATCTTTTTTTTTATCAATTGAGATTTATTTCCATAAATCTTAATATTTTGCTTCATTACAAAATATGGTAGTTTTTCTATGTCATGATGTTATGCTGTAACGATGTCACAAAATTATGTTCCTGTCAGCTGCAGTATCCATTTTTCCAGCAGCTGAGCCCTTGGCCTTTTCGTAGCAGATGTGTAGTGACCGGTAGTGACTCTCAGAGGATCACGAGATGGAAAAGATAAAACTTTATTATGTAAAGCAAGAATGGAATGCCCATTATTTTAAGATATTGAAGATAGTCTAGCATGTTTTTAGAGATTCTAGACTGAACATAATCCGAAAAGCGATATAGCCTGTTTACTGCATTGGATGTGCTCTTGAAGCACATCTTAATATGTTGTTCCCACACCAGGAGAACTGAGACGATTTGGCCCCCCCCCCCCCCTCCCTCTCTTTCCTCATTTGGTACGAGACATGCCTGTAGTGGAGGCTCATTGTGATGGGTTTTGAAATTCCAGTGACACAGATGTACCTGAAGATGAAGTACAGTTTTGTGCAAAAGTTCTCGTACACTTTCTTCTCATTCTCTTACACTTCTTTCTTTTTTAAAAATAAAGTTAACGTTTTGATAAAACCTATTTTTGGTTTTGATAATTATTCAACTAACAAGCCGAGGTTAAAGTTTTTATCAAAACTTTAACTTTATGAAGAAAAAGAAGTGTAAGAGAAAGAGAAGAAAGTGTACGAGAACTTTTGCACAACCCTGTATTTTAAACATTTACACCTTTCAAGAACGGTCTCGTTCCAAAGTTACTCAAATATTTATGTTGTGGGATATATTGATTCCTATTTATGGGACTTTCCCAAGAAATATAGAATCTTCTCACAGTAGCGAGTCTTAATCAACGTTCTCTATGAATGGTGTTGTCGCATTTTTATTTGCACATCCTTTTTGTTTTTGAGTCACCTGCTTGGTTTGAGAATATGATTTGCTGATTGAAAAACCACCCTTCCCAACCCACGACGGATGTCGTCGAAACTGCAGGAATCCCGAGATATCCCTATGGATGCGGTGCAGTTGAAACCTGTCGGTTGTGATTGCCCCTTAGCTGAGAAAGGCGATCGAGGACGTGAACTCGGGGAGCTTCCACGCGAACGCGTGCGACGACGACGCGGGTCTCTCGGACGGGGACGTGGAGAGCGGGAGGAGCCGTGCAGCCACGCCCACGGGGGGCGTGCCCTCGGAGGAGGAGGCTCCCCTGGCGAGCGCCGACACCACCTCCGTCTCTTCCAACGAGGAAAAGGGCAAGGCGGAGTCGGAGCCCGAGAGGGTGTCGAACGAGAACGCGGAGGCCGACCGAGAGGACACCCTCAGCGAACGCAAAGATAAATGAGATGCAAACTTCCGGGGAGTGCGATCTATTTATCGGCGAAGTTACGACCGATGACGATGGAGTGCGATTCGGATCTTCCAGTGCCCTTCCGTGACTCTCGTGATAGAGAGAACGGGAGGACTTTCTGCTTCCTTTACTGTCGCCTGGTGAATTGTGGCAATACTCAACGTGTGCGTGCACGCGTCGATCGGTGCGAGGCCGTGGCTTTTCCTGCGTCCCGATGGCCAAGCTGTGATGATAGTGAGTTTTACGTGAAGAAGAAGCATGTTATCCTTTTTTCTTATGTTCCTTATCACCGACCGGCTGGATGTACTGTCGCGTTTGTGACCCATTTCCTACTATTTGAATGAATGACTGCATTTTCTCACCTAGTCTCAATGCTTCATTCCCTCGTGAGCTGTCGGGAGCGCGACGGGCTTAACGCATTTGCCTCGTGTGTCCTCGTGCAGGGCGGAAATGCACCAGGGGCGCCAAAACGTGCCAGAATGGATGAAATAAATAATGGCTGCCGCCTCCAGTTTTACTTCAGAAAGTGGAAATGCCTTCCGTTTCGGCATCTTTTGGACGCTAGAGTCTGACCCTTCTCCCTTCTAAAGAGAGAAGGGGAGTGGTAGGGGAGGGGGGGGGGGGGGGGGGGGGGGGGGGGTTGAGGAGTGGGGGGGGGGGGGGGGGGGGGGGGGGGGGGGGGGGGGGGGGGGGGGGCGTTGTGAGTCTTAGCTCAGGGCACCGTAATAGCTAGGGCCCGCCCTGGTCGAAAGTCCTTGAAAGTCGTGAACATCTCATGCAGGCACCATGCCAGGCACCCATGCCACTTCAGTCTCGTAGGCGAGCGCAGCCTTTTTACTCTTAATGTAGCATTTAGTGCGAAGATGCATTTTTTGCCACATTGACGCGCCGGGCGGGAACTGTTCAACTTCCCTTCAGGAAGAGAAGAAAATGTATTCCCGCTGCTTAAGTCTTAGTCGAGACTTAAGAAGCTAGAACTGCTTTTACCTCCAGAGTAAGAACAGAAATTCTCGATCGGTAAGGGAGTTAGTCAGCTTTCAAGCAGCACCTCGTCCACATACAGGGAGATTCAAAAGTCACCTACATTTTTTAAATGTCGTATATGGTATCAATCGATTCATCTGCTCCCCCTGAGAAGTGTGGTATAATATTAATGAGGGTCGAAAGTTACTTCGGAAGGAACGGCCTAAGAAGAGTCATAATTAACGTAACATTTCTTGAGGGGACAGATGTCTAAGCTTGGAACCAAGGGGAAAGTGCGCTTTTTCTGTTCTACACTGTTCCTTCCGTCAAATGATTATATCTCATGAGGTAATTACGTGTTAATATCAAATTTTGTATCGTTAGAAAGAAAAACACTTGGAATCAAGTATTGAAACCACGAGTTCCAACCGTGGCAAGTGTAGATTTTTTCTACTGAACTTTATCAAACTGATTGATTAAGTGGAAGTTCTTGTTTTAGCTTCGGAGAATAATTTCTTAGAACAATCTAAAGACGGTAGTTTCACGATTAAATAGCACCATAACGAAGCTTTTATCTCGAATAGAAAATAGTCTTGCAATTCCAGTTGATAATAGGCACTAGGAGCCTAAAACAATTACACTCAAATGCATATATTTCGAGATCGGAGTGAGATTTTAAAAAATCGGAAACTTATTTTCTTATAATGAATTCCTCTACATGCATAGCGATTTTAGTCAAAATCGAAGATCGTTCAGCTCATCCTCTGGTCGATTTGGTGTGGGGTGACCCAAGAGACCCATGTTATGCTAATTATGACTCCTTCCGAAGCGTCTTTCGCCTCACGCTAATATTATACCAAACTGCTCAGGAACAGACAAATCAATTGATGCTACATGCGGCACCAAAAGAAGTAGGCGACTTTTGAATCACCCTGTATGTTTGCTATTCCTGAATCGGGAGAGTTGGAGTTTTCCCCTCAGCCACACGATATCTTCCTTTTATTTTCCCGAGAAATCCATGACAAGAAGGAACACCAAGGGTTCTGAGCCACGCATCATATCGCATGACGTTAATTCCGATAAATAAATCGAAAGAGAATTTAGGAGAAATCGCAACCGGAATGCAAATTGAGATTGGGGGAACGTTCCGAAGAATTCTCTTAATCTCCCCTACCGTTAGAATACCGGAGAGGGTCCTTCGATTCTCATAAATTTTTGCCTGTCGGACGCATTGATGCGGGAAAAGAGCGCTGGGTTTTGCGGATCGTACGTTAAGTTTCGAGAAATGTCCATCAAGTTAAGAAATAGGGCTCTAGCAATTGGGGAAAACAGTAAAAAAAAAAAGACCCGACCCGGAGAAGGGCGCTGAATTGCTCGCAGGTCGTGTCATGTCGTGTCGTGTCGGGTCTTGTCGTGTCGGGTCGTGTCGTGTTCGTGTCGGGGGTGAAGGCTTCATAGAGGTCATTTGATTCGATGGGACTCGAAGCCATCGACCTCCAAAAATTCTGGTTAGAAGAAAGCCGAGAAAGCCGATCGGTCGTTGCTTCGTTATTTCCTTCAAACTCTTTAAATCGGAATCGATTGGACGGTGTCCAAGCGTTTTATTTTTCAGAGGGTGAAGGTAATGCATTTCGACAATTTCCCTTAAACACCTCCTTTTGGCCACCTTCCGTACTGCTGCTGCACCTCACCAGCCATCACTTCTGACTGTATTTACAACATTGATAGAAAAACCTATTTTATTTTGAGCTCTGTATGCCCCCCCTTTTTTTTAAGATTGATAAGGTTGCTGTTGCACTTGTGCTAGGTCATCCTATACCCATGAGATAAGGTGCACATAGATCTCTCAAAAGAGGAAGATAGCTTTCTGGCAGTGAAAACATGGAAATTGCCATGAATGCGGTATACAACACAATCCGAAAACACATAAGAGACAAGTGATGGATAATTTATTAGGTATTAATGGAAATAAGCAGTGTGAAATACGGTCAATAAAAATAGATAGAACCTATTGTAAGTCTACTTGCATTTGACAATAAAAATGTACTTTTTCTTTTTTTTTCAAATAACACAGACAACATCAAGATTAGAGCATGTTTGCAAATAGCCCGAATCCATCTATAAGCAGGAAAAAGTTCCTCTGACAGGTAGCACCATTAACCGAAGATAATCACAATCACCAAAAAATGAGATTGATGGTATGTCTCTCAGCAAGGAAATTGCGGGGGGGGGGGGGAAACAGATTACCCAAGAGCCTATTTTCCTGCAATAAATATATTACTATTTCATAGTTGTAATGATGGCCTGGCACTCATGAGGTAAGCACTCGATCCATCACAGGCTTTGCCGCGAATTTTTCGTCTGAGTTCAGCTACACTTAAATTATGTGAACCTAGTTTAAAATTGACATTTCTTCTTCTGTCGGAATCGCCCTGGAAAGAAAGCCCGAAACGAATTTTTTTTTCGAAGGAAAACCATTCCGATTGGCCAATAGCCAATTAGTCGAATTGCTCACCTAATAAAGACATGGGATCGTGCTTTACTTGGTTTCCTTGTTCTTGTATGTCTGGGTGAGGGTGA